ACCGGATCTGCCGCTCCTTTGAGAGATAACCGGACGCGCTAATGAACTATTAATAAACTCGAAACGGTTTATGCATTTCGATATGCACTTGCTCTGACATTTCGGTGGAAAGCATTATTCGCTCGATTATGGCTCCCGATCTCTCTTATCCCCATCGTACCAGATTATGATGTAAAAATGAAAAATTATATGAATATTTTTCTGCGCTGTAGAACGCAAAACGCGTTCAGTTGTTTCGCACACGCTCGCGCCCCGGATGAAATAAATTCGTGGAATGTGCTGAAGGTTCCCGTTTCGGTTCGTGCATTAACAGACAGCCATAAATCTTGATTAACCGTGATAAGATTCATTTTCGCTGGAAATGTGGGACACATACAGAATTGAATTATGCGTTCATTAAAGGGGACAAGAGAGGGATGCTCTCAGCATCATATTTTATCAATTTATACTGTCGAATGTGAACACAAACGGCGCGAGAAGAAATTAATTTGCCTTCATATATGATAAGAGAAAAAAAATTCACGCGATTTATTATCTGTTGCTTCTGATATCTAAGATTCGATATGAATTTTTCAAGGGACCAGCAGTTTTAATTGTTACAATGAAGTTTACAATATGAATTGTCGTAATTTCTTTAATTTCTTGCGAAGTATTTTTTTCTTTTTAAATCAAAACGATCGTTCAGTTTGGACAAGAAAAGTTTGGGTACCTTCGTGAAAACTGGCCGTGCCGATTTATCGATATCTACCGATTTATTATTTGACTCTTTTTTTCCGAGCTCTTTCACTTCATTGGCGACTATACGCGCGCACAAAGGATTCGTTTGGAAGCCCCTCGTGTTGCGGAATACGTGTAACGTTGGACTGGAAAAGGCTTCGACGGTGCATCGGTGCGTTCGTTCGTTCGTTCGTTCGTTCGTTCGCTCGTCCGATATGCCCGACGGGCGAGATCGAAGCTCCTATACGAAATCGCTATTAAACTATCTCGCATCGGCGGTAGTGGCATTCACGTCGCTACCGTTTTGTCGCAGGCCGACAGCATTACTTATGTACGATGTGCTTCGAATCTATTTCTGAGGCTGAATTTATCGAACGGCTTTGACTCTCTTCGTGCACGACAATGTTATCGGCCGTTATGAAGTTATTAGACGTAAGGTCGTTAAACGCAACAAACCTTCCGTTCCCGCGCTCGCTTCCGTCCACTTCGCAACTTCATGCACCTTATTACCGTATAACTTGCGTACACGTGTCGCCGCTCTAATGCGACCCAAGCACTTTTTAAAAAGCGAGATAACAAATTGATATAATTATCAAAGCATATCTGCCGCTGTGCTAATCAAATTTGATGACATTTAATTGCTAAACAAAGAGAGATAACGATCGAGACCGGGTACGTTTCCGTTAAAGAGATGAAGCGTCATCTCTAAATCTTGTCTGTCTAAAGATACCTCGGAGTATCGAATTGGGGCAGCGATATAAGGCTATGGATATTCGCAAGCCCGTCGGATTCCTGATCCCCGTTGGGATCTGCACCGTTGGGTGACACTGTGGACATACCAGCGGTAAAAGCGAGCGTTCGGCTCGCGCGAGTCCGGAGTATCGATTGATCGGTCAGCCGTGTGTGTATGTGTGTGTGTGTGTGCGAGGCTGTTTATAGTTAGATAAGAGAGCTGACGTAGCTGGGTATTACGTAAATTGTGAATTATCCCGTAGAGTTTAACCCGCTCATTCTTAATACAATTACATACACGTGACCATCGGATTCGTACGTTTGTACATCGGATTCATGCATCGATCTTCTCGCAGAGCTGAGATCGAAGTCAGGCGCTCCTTCTAGAACCGCGGGATTCGACATGGCTCATATTATCGTGGACATACGATCGTCCAATCGAGTGCATGGTTGAATTTCTATTGTTAACTCGTTGCTAGTTCTCGTTTTGCAATATAAATCTCACGTTTTGCTCTCGAATTGTAAACTACTTCCACATTATGCGTTTTCACGATAGAGTTTCTTTCTCTCGTTTCTACTATAAGTAAACATTATAGCTATTTCCCTACTGAGAATTATATAGACTGCATATATATAGATGCAAAATATATAGACTGCATTTTATCCTCAAGACGTTGCAATTTCAAATTCGAGTCTCGTTCGAATTTATAGACTTCGAATAAACAATGATATCTTACGTTTATCACTTTCTCTTACATTTTATTACGCCTCTTTGCTTTTATTACTTTGCTCGTCGATGTAATCAAATGAGGTCTCTCATTTGAGTCTCAACTATCGCTAGATTTCGAATGAATGATGATAATGCGAGGATTTCGATATCCGACTCAGTTTCTCGAGTTTCTTCTCACTGGCTCGTTAAAAAGACAAGAAGGCAAACGTCTCATAATATCCGCATCGCTTTACCGCTCCGAGATATAAATACGAGCGACGGTTTTTTTTTATATCGATCTCTGGATTGTGTGGTGGAACCTTCCTCACTACCGCGAGCAAGTGTGAATTATTCTGTTAATGGCTATTGTATCGAGGTCGACGGTCCTGTCCCTTAATGGGTTTGCAGAATGCTTAAGATTCGCTTGAGGCCAGACGGCGCCAGTCTCCCGGCTCCTCGCCATTATCGGCAGTGTACATCCTGCTATCTGATGTATACATGCATAGCTCCAGACACAGTTCGATCACGAACAAAGCAATAAAAACAAGAACCGTAGTAAAATATATAAGGAGAAAGCGACAAAATGCAGAAATTTAGTCCGCGATAAATAGTATTATTATGAGACATTATCAGTATTAGTGTTATTAGAATTATTATGTAGAGCAAAGATGGAGGTCACTTTCGTCGTTCCAGACAGTTTGATCACCAACGCACAAAGGAATACAAACAAGAAACGTAGTAAAATATAAGAAGAAAACGATAATTGCAGAAATTTAGTCCGCAATAAATAGTATTATGAGGCATTATCAGTATTAGTGTTATTAGAATTATTAAGTAGAGCAAAGATGGAGGGTACTTTCGTCGTATAACAGGAACTTCGGCTATCCAACTTAAGCCTATTAGAAGTTGGTACAGTTACTGAATCGCGATGATTTAAGGAACTCGTAAAGCGACCTAACTTCGATTAACTTCAGCAATTCCTTTCCAATTGTTACAACTAATAAAGATGCCTCTACAGCAGAATTTCGACCTATATAATTTATCATCTCTAATTGAATATTTCTTTCTGTGTCAAACAATAAGAAAATAACAATTTTAATAAAAAATTTTATCGACAAAATACTAGAATCGAATAATAATGCTATATTCGACGAGTTAATCAAAGTTTGATTAAAGTGACACATAACGCGTGACCGTGTCTCCTAATATCGATTTGTATAATGTACTATATATTTATGTATTACGAGCATTACGAATGCGCATCCTTCTATTTTTGTTTCTGATATTTTGCTTCTAACGACAAGATAACAGGACACCTATAGAAATAGCGCTTGATCGCGCAAAAATTTGCATTAAAGCGTAACGCATAACTATATACTATCAGATATTGCTTGATTGATGTCCTTCACAATAATTTATGGCCTTATATCTTTTCTCTGTTTTATTACCCTTTGAAAAAAGCATAGTTATTCCGTCACGCACTCACGAAATGAGTCTCCCAGAAGCTAGATCAATCAACTTTCTGTTTTTTGAGAATTTCTTAATTTTATTGACAGAGAGAGAGAGAGAGAGAGAGAGAGAGAGAGAGAGAGAGAGAGAGAGAACACCTGTTTATATAAATATATAATTTTATATACCGCGTGTTTCAGAATTTAACGGACAAACTGCGGAAGTGTATTCGACAAGTGGAAATAACAATAAATATTATATTAGAAATGTTTTATTACAAAGTTATAAACAAATATTAAAACGGAACATAAAACAGTGGATTTTCCATTATGTAGAATATAAAAATATACATCTCGTAGGAAAAGGTCGAACGTGTTTATCTTGGTGCGTTTATTTATATCATATTTTCTATTTTGAAACAATTTAGTATCATTTTGATCTGTGAATATGATATTCGTTCAATAATAAAGCATTTTTAGCAAAACTTTATACATAAAATTTTTTTCTTATTTCAACTTGTAGAATATGTTCCCGCAGTTTGTTAAATTCTGAAACACCTGTATATAAATTATATAACTTATTATTACAATAAATTTATGATTTATTTCCTCTATTTTTTATTTTATAAATTTTGGATCCATCTTCTGAAAGGCTCAAATAATTGTTCTAATATGCGATTAGCTTGTGTTTTCGAAGCGCTCGATCGGAGCTGCGTCCTTGGTCGAGCTCCGTTCTCCTTGCCCATGATGCGCGGCCCACATTTTTATCGACGGAACTTTATTTATTTTTAGAAATATACGATGGAATACCGACTGCATCAGTGCGACACTTTTGTTACGAGAATCGAACGAGCATGCGTTCGAAATAGCTCAAATAATATGGCCTAAAGTAGCCCCGCGTTTTTATATAGAATACCTCGGATGTTATATAGGATATCTCGATTATCAATCTCTGCGATAAAGATTTTAACAAAATCATTCTGAAAATTTCAGCTAAAAGAAAAAAAAAAAATGTCCGCTCGCTAAAGAAATCTAAATTCTTAAAATAATATCAACTTTTACATTATATAAATTATTACATTAAATATTAATTATAAAGTTTAGGATAGCATATTTAAATATTCCCTTATTAAATATATGATGCTATCTGCAAGTAATATATAAATTTCGTATTGATTATCGCGTCAAACATTAGCCAGCTGGGCTGAATGTTACACGTTACTCTTTCCGGGTCAATGACCGCGCCGCGTATGACGCACGTCAGGCAGAGAAATGGCAGCAATGAGGTGAGGTTAGGCTTGAAACAGCTGATAGGAAAACAAAGGGACGCTACTCCGTTTTTCGTCGGGACAGACAAAGCGCGTGTTCGCTCTAACGTATGGTACGATTTTCAGCTGGATGAGGCTGATGGAACCCTTGGGTATCGCCCAGGACATCGTGGAGCCGGCTGTGTTAAAACGATGGGCTGACTATCCCATCCAGCATCGATACACGGACTACTCCGATTCCGTTCGGGAAACGGCGCATCACGCCATAAGCCCCTTCCCTTGTCAACCGTCGCTTAACAACAAACTCGCGCTATGGTAAGACACTTTATAGTTTAGAACGCGAAATTTAATCTCGTTAAAGTGTTTCGTCCAATTATTGTTATTTGAGTTATTTTATCAAGTTAGTAATGATGAAACTGTATGCGATACATTAATGCTCCGCAAACGGTGTGTTTCAGGACTGGAGATATCTCAATATTACAAGTAGATGCAGTAGTAAATCCTACCAACGAGACAATGGATGATAATAGTCCTATGTGCCAAAGAATATTTAGCCGAGCTGGTTCTGCACTCAAGATAGAAATATTTAATGAAATAAAAGGTCTGTATTTTGATGGGCGTAGCAATGCTGTCGACAATGACGGAACTTGTCTCGACAAAACCTTAATTGCCCAAATCTTTATTTGCAGAATGCCGAACCGGCGAAGTAAGAGTAACACAGGGTCATGGATTACCTGCTCGTTTTATTATTCATACCGTTGGACCAGTTTATAATGTCAAGTATCAAACAGCTGCGCAAAACACGTTACATTGTTGCTATAGGTAATTTAAACATTTAACATATGCAGATAGATATAAATATTAAAATATTTTGATTCTGATATTAGAAAATGTATAGGAAATGAATTCTGTTAAAAAAAGGGACATATAAATTAATTTTAATCTTTTCGCTACGGAAAAACTAAGCAAGAAGAGTTGTTACTGTACAAGAATATTTCAATATTGGTGTCTGTTACTTTGTAGCAATTTATTGTCTCTGCACGAGTTATTTAAATTTATAAAGAAAAAATTGATGGCATTAAAAACTTATTTATTTAATTAAAAAATATCTTATAATGACATTTTTCTAGTAAAGATTATTTGTAAGCGTTCCAAGACCAAAATAAGAAACTTTTATTTTAAAGAAAAGTACTTGTTCTGTTTGAACATATATTTATGATTATATTGAACGTTATTTAATAACAAGAAATAAACAAATAATTAATATAAGATATAATCATGACATCAAAAAGAACTCAAACAACTCAAACATCACAAAGGAAGTTAATAATACATAATATATTATCTTTTTTATATAATGTAATATCTTTTAAAGCAAGGCGTTATGCATAAATTATTGCATTGTAATAATGTCACATATATACATTTTTTTATCATTTTTGTAATATGCAACAGAATGTCATTCAATTAATTATTTTTGTATTATCGATTTTTGTGCGTGCGTGTGTGTAAATTGGATCAGCTGTTCGTACGCGTTTTATTAGTAGTCGTTCGTACACAGAAGTAGTTTTGTGGGCGGTCACTACATAGTCCTTTGTAGCGAAAGAATTAAGCTTTCCGATCTTACAATATAATTTTCTTTACCATAGAAATGTTCTACAAAAGGCAAGAGAAATGGGATTGCGTACCATTGCTCTACCAGTAATAAATTCAGTACGGAGAAATTATCCTCCGGACGCAGGAGCGCATATAGCTCTCAGTAAGTATCGAGCAAGTAGATGTCTGAGTGTAAATTTATAATGGATATACGTCGATACGTGATGAAATAAATGGTTTTCTCTCCTCTTTCCAGGAACTATACGTAGATTCATGGAGCAATACAGCGATTCGTTAACGTGTGTTATATTTGTACTAGAGCCGTGCGATCTTGGAATATACGAAGTCCTTCTGCCGCTTTATTTTCCCCGAAATTTGGCAGAGCAGGACAACGCTTGCTGGCAGCTACCGAATGATATCGGCGGAACGGACGGAGAACCTTTACTTCCGGACAGACAAATCAGAATCATCGACAATCCTCAGCACGCTTTGCACGGTAACGAAAAATCGATTCCTATGTAACATGGCAGCATACGTACGGGGATTACAAAGCGGCAATTCCTTTGAAAAGCACATCGTACTTTTACAGGCGACGAGACGGTCGAACTTTCGACACAATTGGAAACCTCGGTCAATATCGGCGAGCATGCCTTTGCGCAAATGCAGGGTGATTTGGATCGACAGAGACTTTTGGGAGAGAGACCTCCTGCCGACCCACTGGCGGATATTATGCTCAAGCAAATGCAGCATAAAGAAAGGTACGAGTTTGCGAATTTTTTGAACAATCTTGTCGGAATTATTTGAACAATATTTACGTTACTTTTCTACAGAAACAGGATTCTAATTATAAGTAACCAACCAATTTGAATCTGGAGAATAAACACGAGTTTATTTTTACGATCAGATTGAAATAATACGCGATGAATTATTAACGTTGAAGAGACATTGATTATTTTAAATTTGGAAGAGATAATGAAATTTGTTCTTTTTCTTTCTAATTTTTTTTTCTCAGAACACTCAGACTAATGTCTGGTATACACAATTCACGATCTGTCATCTGTGTGAAAGTCAAATTCGCATTTATAATTCATCGTTCGCGCTAATTCACCAATATACCCGTAGTCAGTAGACTATTATTTAGCGGAAAATTAAATAACTAATGCAAAGCTGGCTTTTCTGTTGAACGCAATAAATCTTAATGACTTTTTTATCTTAACAGCGCTATGTTTCTCTTTTTTATCCACGCAGCACAGCGAGAAATAATGTATTTGCACGGATAAAAAAGTCACTCCTACCGATACGAGAGTTAAACGTTGCCGTGTGGCTAATAGTTGAAAGGTTTCTTCTGTATCGACATAAAAATAAAAAAAATACATTGTATATTTATGAGCATGTAGAATGAATGGGAAAACTTCTAAGGATATAAGGGACATCAGCCAGTTATAGTTCAGTCCATTATATAATTTCGCAGTGTATTCCGGGCATTTGATCCTTCCTAAGTACTTGATTCGCAAATGTCGAAGCCATTACTTTCTTTCAAGCTTACTGTTCTTTTTATATTTAATAGAGTTTACTATTACTTTTGCAAAGCAATTTATGTGTAATTATCTTAAATGATACGCAAATGTTGTTAATATTACAATTTAACCTGTATTCTCGGTATACACGATATACTTAACTACTGTGAAAGGCGCTATTGAATGTTTCTATTAACAATATCTCAATTAACACTAATTTTGTGTTCTCAGGGACAAATAATCTTATGTTCTTTTTAACAAAATTCTTATTAGTATTACTATTAGCAATATACGTTCGCGAACATATACAAACAGTATATACAAACAGTTATATTGATTATTTCATATTTGATATTACATGCATTACGATTGACAAAACGATATCATATCTATGAATTATATCGTTTATCGACTTTCGCGACTATGACGCACATACAAAGTTTGCCCCGTAATACCTGCTCCTAATTAATTTCAGCGTTGAAGTATCATTTGCGTCATAGAAATAAATCATTCGTTTCAGACCTGACATTTTCTGTCGCATTAAATGTTTATTTCGAGACTGAGATTGTCATCGACGTCATTTTATCGTGACATGCCGGGTTTATTACAGCGAGACGACAAACCCACGTGTGACTCGAATCATTGATTATACCAATGGCGGTGATTCATTTCGTTTTCGAAGTAGAACAATTTATTTTTTTTTTTGCTTTAATGAGACAATAATCGATTATATCGGCGTATTATGAAACGTCAAAGCATATTGCGCGTAATATTGAGACGAATAATCTTATGAAATATTATCGATTTATTTCCGAGTGTAAAACAAAAGTTTTATGTGGAGATTATCACATGATTTTTCTAAAACATAATTATATTTTCATTAGCAATTTTACAGAGTTATCTAGATACATTAGGGAATATTATTGTGTCATACTTTCGATGAAATACCTTGGATCCGTTTAATTGAGGTCAAGATCATGAAACTGCAGTCTTAAGCAACAACGTGATGCAATCGCGTGCATATAGCATTAACGTCTTTGTAATTTGTTATCTAATTTTACCTTAGAAAGAGTAATTGAGGAGCAATGTACGTATATGTTACTTTATTTTGTCTCTAAATAATTGTCGATTTAATTAATATTAAAATCGTCATTCCTTTTTCATGCAAATTACGGTAGGGCTTTGTTCTCAGGTGTTTCATTTTTACGCACGAGTTATTTGAAATTTCGCGAAAAGCACTCCGACTGTCCCGATTAACCTGTGAAGCATATATTTGTTTTTCCAATCCAAGATAATCCCGAGCGCCGAACGTTTCTACTGCGCACGAACATTTTAGCGAAATGCTAATTCGAGATGTACAACGTCAATGCCAACGTGTCCTTTAGAGCCGTCAAAATTTTTCAATTTGTATTTAAAAGAAAAATTTGAGTTTAATTTTACAAATATAGAATAATCTTATTGTTAGAATATTTGCAATAAGGTTGCGACTTTTAAAGTATTTTTGATGGAAATACTTCATTATGCAAGAGCATCGTCTGCTCACAAACTGAAGGAAAAATTATTGTTTTGAGAAAACATATACACAGGGTAAATTTAAATATAATCTAGATATGGATTTCAGTATAAAATTAAACCATCCAATATTCAGTGCTGTCAAATGTAACATGACAGCGACTTAGACCATCGGAAATTGTGTACCGAAATGGAAACGTTATCTATTCTTTGGATTGGCCTTCACAGTTGCCTGACACGAATCCGATCGAAAATACATGATCGATCACGAAAGGGTACTTCAAAGTCTATATTTATACTAAAACAGCTGTGTCCTTAAATCCAAGCAATTCGCCATTACTTCTAAATTGCGCCCAATTTCTGCGCTGGATAACACATGAAAATTTAATTGATTCCGCAAACAGTGACATATAGATTCATTATTTAAAATTTATTTTTCTTTTCGTCTTTATCTTCTTTCGTAATAATAATTTACCATTCGGATATACAGAGGATATGTCATTTTCTTATATAAATCGCAGATTGGCGCGCGAGCATACGATCGGCAAATAGCGCGAATACGATCGGGAATAAAACGCGCATTCCAGCTTCCTGTTTCCCAATCGGCCCATTAGAAAAAATGATTATAAAAAAGCACGGAGAGTGACACACACGTTCACGGTCCAAGGCCGTGGCGGGCGGTATATTACCCGCAATTAAAGGAATACACATCACGATCGAATTAAACAACGGTCTCGCGACCCCTACTCCGCCTCGTCGCCTCGCGCGCATCGAGCACACCGAGCGTTCCTCCGCGAGCCGGGCAGGCGCCGTGCGGTGCCGCGGCAGGACCCGGTGCGCGGTGCGGGAGCAACCTCGTAGACGTCGTAGTCGCCGTGGTCGTCGCGGACGTTGCAGCCGAGAGACGGCCTCTCCTTCCCTACATAGACAAGACGCGGTTCGGGTTACGGGTTCGGTTCTCGGTTCGTTCAGTTCGCCGCGACTCGTCGTACCGCTCGCTGTCATCCCTCTTCTGTCGTCGCCTCCCTCGGCCAACGATCGAACGAACGTGAACTGTGCGCGGTAACTCTCACAGTCCGTCGTGCCGCGTGTACGGTCCTTCTTAACGGATGTCACGGGAAAAGGCCGCACACGGCTGCTAGTGGATCCGATACGATTTTCTTCTTTTCCTCTCTTTTTTTTTAAATCGAGATCGCGGAGAGTGAAATCACGAAGGGGACGTGACATCAGAATGGTCATGATTGACATGGTGGATGTCATCGAGGATGAGGACCGGTGTGTATTAAAGAGTAGTGCTCTCGTTCGCGCGACGCTGAACCTCGTGCTCGAGCGCGACGATTCGGATGAACCTCGCGGTGTCTCGTTATCGGCTCGCTATTGATCCCTGCTCCTTTATTGGCGTTCGTCCAGTTACACATTTCCCATACCGATTTGTCGTTGAAGAATACACCGGAGGTGGCAATGATCGATTCAGTGTATCGAAAAATTCGTGCGTAATACAGTTTTATTGATACGCTGATTTGCTCTACCTATCTACTGGTTTGGCACTCTTGGAAGAAGGAGCGTGAAACTGCAATATACTTAAGTGAAATTTCATTAGCACGGCGCCGAATGTATTCTACAGCAGTTAATCGAGAAAAAAAGTAAAATACAACGAGCAGGGCACTATATATAGTTAGACGATGGAAATGCTAATGTAAAGCTCGCGACTTGGACGTTTGCGATAAGACGCACCCAAATGAAATTTATACGCTCACGAAAGTGCATTTTTATGCACGTCACTGTTTGCAATTTATGTTATGCAAAGCGGCACGATCTCCTGTGTTGTAATTAAAGTTACATGATGACAAGCCGTATCGCAAGATTCGAGTAACATTTCCGGACACGTTTCCGCATATCACGCCGTGCCTTCAGTCGAACTCGTCGCGAATTAACATCACTTAAGCGCAAAATTGTTGATTTTGTTTTATTTAAATTGACGACATTCCTTTTGGCAATCTTGTGTGTAGAAACAAATTCGGATTATAATTAATAATTTGGCGAATCGCAATTGAAGTTTGCATTGCGTTTATATTTTTATTCGAAAGTCTCATATAATTATTAAAAAACGTTTATATCGCACGTGTGCTCGTGTTACGTAAATTTTGGAATCCATTAACAGGCATATTAAAACTATTACAGTGGATATTTGCCTAATTTCTGTCTATCGTTTGTTTATCGTGCACTTACTGTAATAAACCTGAAAACGAAATGTGCCCGTAAAATATTTTTTAGCCGAGTGATGTATTAATATATTGACAGAAAAAGAAAAGTTCGTTATACATCGAACATATATAATACGGATGAAATCGTTATTTTGTAGGTACGAGAGGCTTCTTAGAAGGGCGAAAACGGAGGATCTGACTGAGGTCTCGGGGATCGGTTGCCTGTACCAGAGCGGCGTGGACCGGCAGGGCCGACCAGTGGTGGTTTTCGTCGGCAAGTGGTTCCCAGCCACCAAAATCAATCTAGATAAGGTAAAGACCTTTGCGTGTGCCCGGAAAAATCAATGTTGCTGCGAATTACACGAAAAAAATCTGCCGCTCACGCCTACGCAACGTTGAACGTAAAAGTATCGTCGTTTCAACAGAATGATGTTGTCCAAAGTACAATCTTTCTAAGTAAAATAGTGAAAGTTATATTAATTGTAGTTTATTATCTTCTCTCAATTTTACTACAGTATAGTTCTCAATTGGAAATTGCAACAGTGCATACCGTTCTATAGCCACTCTTAGTTGCCCTTTGCATTTTAATCGATTCGTTTGGAATGTATAATAGAAAGTGCAGTTTTACTGAGTATTGTTCTGTTGAAATTGTCTTTGATTTTTGCGCCCCTGTCATATACCCGTGTACATTTCAGCCACATTATTCTACACGTACCGTCTTGACACGTTTTAATCAAACGTTATCGAGCATTTGCTTATAAATGAAAGTGATACAATCTCGCGGAACTACTTATTTTACTGATAAATATAACTTTAAACTTTCCAATAAAAAGTATCGCGTATTTATATTAATTTTATCGATATTATATAGTCGGTCTCAAAAAGATGACATACTTTTAACTCTGGAATTCGACAGCGAGAATTTGTTTTCAAAGCTGTCGCTATAGTTGAAGTTGGCAAAATACAAATTCTCTTATCGGACATCGGAAACGTTCTAAAAATCGTTGTAAGAAGAATGTCTCTTTCGGCTACGCAGGCAGCATTGGGGATTTGCACCACCTTCCTCTCTACCTCATTTCCAGATATTCGTAGATACGTGCCGGCTCTCTCGAGTCCGTGCATAGAATCGCACGGGCTCGCGCATGCCGCTCGCATTGCGCCGCGTCCAGGCCAAGCCTCCGATCATTTGGCGCCTATCTTTGCGCCAGTTGTGTCCCGTTGTGTGTCATTTCCTTTTCCCCCGTCATCCTTACTCCGGCTCGTAGCCGGAACGCGGCGTGAGATATAGCGGCGGGTGGCGAATCGATATTTACACGTCCAGAAATAGACCGACCGCGGAACGAGTTCCTCCATGAGGAGGGCGAGAACACGGACTGCAACGTCGTCGTCGCGACGCGCACCCCCATCCTCAATGAAAGTTTCTCACCCTATTAACCTATTTGCATCGGCAACGATTTGTGGATATCGCACGGATCATCGGCACGTGAGATAGTCGGCGATTAGCAGGGAGAGAAAACGAACGATCACGTCAAAACTTCGTTTCTTCTTTTGCTTCTTTTCATCGACATCAACACCGAACATCGCATTGCAATCGACGAAAAGAAAAGTGAACGAAAGCTTGCGATATGTCAGCTTTCTTCATACATAATAATCGTGACCTTCTCTATACAATAATTTCTTCCTTACACATTTTCCAATATTATCAATATAGCAACGGGGATGTCTTGAGTACTTTCAAATTAAATTAAATACGAAATGAACAAACGCTTACATACATTCTTACGAGGCAAGTTAATTTGTAAAAAAAATTTAAAAAAAAGAAGCTCGAAACTGTGTTGAATAGGACACGCATTTTTTTTAAACTTGCGACTTTCAAACGAATCGAGCGAGAAAGTTCGATCTACGTTTCTATGCGCAAAATAGAAACACGTGCAACTTCGTAAATCATTCCAACGTACGCTAAAACATCACGATGTCGGCTTAAGACTCATGTTTTGAAACCAACGTATCCACCGTATTTCATCGTGACTTGTAAGTCGCTAATTATTTAATAGCACGTGTTCCAAATCTTTCGCGTGAGGAAGAAAAGCATTCGGCCTCACTTGTTCCAATTTTTTTTTATACTTCAAATGGCCGATTGCGATTCGTTGCCGGCGGATGTGTGCCTCGCTACTTTGACTTTAATCGAGATAAGAATATCAACGACGTCACATCGAGATTCGTCGGTACTGCTAAAAATATACGCTGCCATGCAGCGGCTGTTGAAACAACGTCATGTACACACATCGTCCGCGCGAGGTGCGTGTTCCAAACTGAGAGATTCGACGTACGCGTAGTATCATCCGCTATTAATACTGAGCATTGCATTAAATTTGTTAATTTAAACATCTGTGCGATTCCACCCCCCGCGCCTTTGTCTTGCATCCACTGACCCGCTTTCGGGATGAAAACATTTATGCTCAGTCAGGACGCTAATTACACAACGACCTGAGATAACGTGTCTTCATGGCCGCGATACGGACAGCGACACATTTCGCAATTTACGGAACAGCATCGACGTCATTTCGACGTCATTTGGCGCGAATTTATTGTTGACAGCACCACCACCGATATTTGCCTTCCATCGATTTCTTCGCTTCGGAGCTCCCGCTAGAAGCGAGAAAACCTCAACTTCTTTTTGCATTGAGATAACAGATAATAATGATTGCCGTACTCATTGCATAATAATAATATCGTTTGATCGTAATCGGACACGCATAGTTGGCTCGCATAAGGATACGTTTGTGAAATAATTTCGTTTAAAGTTTACATCATTTTCTCAGTAATATCATTAATTTTACATTAATAAAAGAGCAAAGAGTATCCTCTGATGAAATAATATAATAAGGCAACATAAGAACATATTGTTGAATATACATAACAATTTTGTAAATATTTATCATGAACCGATGACGACTGAAGAGATCTCAAAATGTTTCCGTATCCTTGAATTCGATCCTTCTATTATATATGCCATAATTTATTTAAAATCTCAATTTTTGTATAGCCAAATAGATTTCTACAAATTTATATAGGAAATCTCTTTTTTTATTTACCTAATTTCGAGCTACAGTACAACCCTATGTTATCACAGCTTAAATTTTTTACTGTACTTCTCTATCGAGCTTACAAAATATCCACATACGATGTTAAAGGTTCATTGATCGCTCGAAACCCTCCGACATTTGTCAGTTTCGAACTTTCTCATACAGAACGTGAACCGATGAAATCACAATGAAACTGCGGCGTTGATTCTTTCAATAGAACTGGCAGGGAGGATACATCACATATTCCACGACATAGGAAAGTCTTGCGAAACACATTCTGTATATCTCACCGCGCTGACGTTTCATCGATCCCGAGAATATTTACGCAGCGTTTATTTTAGGACACATTCACCCCTCTGTTTCCCTACTCTACTTTGACAACGCATTTTTTTACGTAATACGGATTTTTAACATGTATTTTAAGAAAGCTTCGCCGTGGCTTTTTTTTTTTTCATGATAAATGAATAAAATCAGCAAAATGTACTATTCTTTTTTTTTTATCTTCGTGCCTCTTATGATTTTAGGCCTTGCTGTACCTGATACAATTGCTGGATCCCATCGTGAAGGGAGACTACGTTATCGCGTATTTCCACACCCTTACGGCCAGCAGCAATTACCCCAGTTTACACTGGCTGCGCGAAGTCTACAATGTGCTTCCCTACAAGTAAGTTGTACGCTTGAGATATCGAACGCATCGAACCTATTGATCGCATTTTAATGTAGAATCACAAACGCGCCTTTACGGGCACGTACAATGTAGAGAATAAAGTATGAATATTTGAGTGAAATTAAAAATTTGGTACAGTCTTTTGGTTATTTATAAAAAAATTGAACTTTTCGCAATATTTAGTAAACTGAAAAAAAATTGAAAGGACAGAAAATATATATTTTTAGAGTTCTTTTTGACACATTTTTCATATAAATCAAAAGAGAATATTTAGATGGTATTATATGTCACTATAAAACGAAAATAAAATTTGTATATATTTATAAATATATACATTTCCTTATATATCGAGGAAAAACATTAAAACTGAAATATTGTTAAGTTACCAGTTATGCAATGGCAAGCAGCATCGAGCTGTTGCCTACGCAATCCGATTCCGCTAGTTTGCAGAAATTTGATAGCGATCTTGAAACAGAATTCCTTTTACAGGTATAAGAAGAATCTAAAACATTTCTACATTATCCATCCTACCTTCTGGACCAAGGTTAGTAACAGTAACATCGCGTCATAATTATATGCTGATATAACGAAGGCCTTACGCAGTAAGTGCTGTTTAAGACGCAAAACCGCACTCGTTAATGAACGTTATTATTGCATTTCCCACGTGTATGCATGACGAATCGTCTTTGGAACGATCGTATCGAATTTCCTGGCTATTCGTACTCCGTTAGTAAATATACAAGTATAATTTTGCAATCGAATTATCAAAAGATATTTTAACGCTAACTAAACAATATTTTCAACCTGTTCAAGTTCTCTTGTTTCTCCCGCTGTTATACGGTTTTACATTGAAGAAACTCCAGTTATTTCTAAATAAATTACAATTGACTGTTATAGATGATGACGTGGTGGTTCACGACCTTCATGGCTCCAGCTATTAAGCAAAAGGTTCACAATTTGCCCGGAGTAGAGTATCTTTATGAAGTCATGCCGCCTGACCAACTCGAAATCCCAGCGTACATCACGGAATACGACATGACGGTACGACAAGCGGCAAAGTTGACTTTCGAATGGAAGAAGTCTCACAAGTCAGTTGTCAGTTATTCACTCGAAATTACTTTTCTTTACAGATAAATGGCCTGAGGTATTATCAACCGGAACAGGTCCTGTCGTCGGCATCAACGTCCACGTAATTCGCAGGTGAAAATCTGAGCAGCGAAGCGTCAAGACCGAGGCCAGATCGAGTGTTCTGTGCATTCGCATGGTGGACTATTCGTATTTTTGCAGCAACACACACCCGTGCGCCGCTTATAAGCGTGAGAACCGTACGCGTGAGACTCGTGACTGCTGGTGTATCTCGACGGTTTTACGGTAACGACACGGAGTACGAAGTACATTGTCCGAAACAATCCGTACATCTATCGAGAAAAGTAGCCCGGCTCCGCAATAACTCGAAGCCGATTTGTCCAAGTGCCTCATGATGGACCGCTTATCAGGAAACAGGACGAAAGGACGATCGGCCGCGTGAGATGTTAATACGAATATTAACGCAAGAGAAAAAAAAAATCAAGAAACCACTGCCCGCCTGCTTTTGACGTTGATTGATTCTTTTTACTTGTATGCGCACTTACGCATACGGGTTTTTACGTCCCCGAAAGTACGAAGATAAAACTTGGTACTGGACAATCCGCGTTAAGATATAAGGTAACCGAGAAAGCTGGATCGACACAGTATATGGCACAGAGGTGGAAGTGTGCAATTGCTAAACAAAGTATATTCTCCTTATCCAGTAATAGAGCTAATGAATTACACTATTCGCTTAGAGCGAACATCGGCTGCCAAAATATCAATAATCAGTATTTTCATCGTCGCTCGCAAAACGAAAATCCGAAGAAGCTGAATTACTAATCTCTCGCCCTTGTACATATTAACGCTGTTCGTGGCAGATTCTTAGCTTTAGTACTGCCTGTGAAAGCGGTAGAAGGGATAAAAAAAAAAGGGGGAAGCATTTGACGATGCCACTAGAACTTAAACGTCGGCTTAACACAGACCGTCGATCGCTTTCTGTTATTTTCGTATATCAATCGTTATACAGCGAAGAGCGTCTATTTGATTATTGTACATTGTCAATATTTTATTAATTCACGTTGATAAAGAGATTGTGCTGCGCTGCCGCCGCCGCCGCCGCCGCCGTATTAGCCGCGGTATTTTCGATATAATAATAATAATAAAAAATCATCGGCTACAAACAAAGAGCGGTTGGATGTTTTACTGTGATGTCATGTCTTCGGCGCTCAGCAGATTTCATCAATTTTAAAGAAACACAAAAAAAAACTTTGTTTGTCTTCTCTCTTGCGGAGATAAGACTTCGACGCGAAACGCAGAGCAGAGCGCGCGCGGAGACGTTACGGTTGAGCGCCGAAGTCGTATGTACGGGACAGTTCTAGAATAGAAGAAGCAATAACTTTAAGAGCTTGCTCGCGATGTATTTCGGGAGGCAAAAAAAAGTCGTTATCCCCGTTGTTAAGCATTTTTAGCGATTAAAGAGATAAATTAAAGAAGTTAAAACCTGTTAATCGCGTCGATTAGCCCATTTCTCACGCCCGCCGAATCACGAATGTATTTCGCGGCAAGTATAGCGCCACTCCCTCCGCCCTTCTTTAATCTTTCGTCAATTAGTTTTCGGCACGAAACGAGAGGAAAAGAGCGAACTATCTCGTGCGCTTAATCAATCGCGGATGAGTTGAGAAGGCAATGGGTTAATTGACCACGCTACCTCCGCCGAAGATACAATCGTCCGTGTGATCGAGTACATAAGTGTTTATACGCATTGAGATATAAACAGTTATGGAATTTAAAAAGTGCTCTACTCGTAATCTGTATGGCTGTATTTGGAAAATGCAATAATTGCACTGATTGCACAACAGTTGGATGAACCACGGATCGGTTAATGTATTTTAACATGTATTTTTTACAACACACACAAAATCGTAAAATCATCCTGTGTGATTTTCCGAAAGTTTATCGAAAAAACTCTATATATTGTGAATATTGTATTGCATATATATTTACTTATACATATTTATTTATGCATATATATTTACGTCATACTGAACTAAGTATTCTTTATAAACGATTTTTATAAAAACGGAATTCTTTATTTTTACTAATTTTTATACTTTTTGTCCTTCATAATCCTCTATATAAAAAGTAATTGCAATTGCTTTTGCAACATTCTTTACTTAAATATCTTAATAATATTTTTTTAACAATGCTGCTATTGTATCCAATAAGATCATAATTATTAGATTCTTATAGCTGTTTGTTAGTTTTAAATCGCACATTCAATTGATTGCAAAACCATTGTGTTTTTTAAATACAGTCGTTATGTTCGCAGCGATGGGATAGTATTTTTTCATGTTACGTTTACATATGTCTATGTTTCGCAAAAAAAAAAACTTTTAATGCTATTCGCGCTGCGAATAGTCGGAAAAAATTAACCTCGTACTATTCGGAGGGGCCAATAGTGTCAAAATAGGCTATTTCTCATTTTTATGTTTAATGACCTCATGCTGTCCGTCCCTGACAATCGAGTTTAATACATAGTGAAAAATTTCAGGATGCAGCATCCAGAGAGATTGCGCGTCTTGTCATCTATATATGTATATTTTATATTAGTCGTTGTTATTTTGTTATTCCAAAATTTTAACTGAATAAATTCGTTAAAAATGTAATTTTTAGATAATTTCGATAACTCGGTTCCCATGTGATGCAACAAATGTTTTAACAAATTTCGAAATTATTACAAATGATAATGATTAATTTAAAACACAAATAATTACTCATTTGTGTGTGACTTATTGTTATCTCTGGCAAGCTTGTATACGATGATGGGATTTGAGAACGATAAATACGGTTAAAGTTTTGGCCTTAAAATATATTACATATATTAAGGTATATATTAACCTAATATATTGTTTATGTTAAATAATTGACGATTGAGTCTATAATTATGTTAACAAATACTTATTCGACGATTGGGGAGATTCTTATATAAATACATATAATCTTTTAAGGTCCTAATCTAGTCCCTTTATCAATCATAGAGAAAAAAATATGCTTTCTTGAACGAATATCGCATAAAGTTATTAGTGAATTCGATTGGAACACACTAGTACGCAGGACTCAGTGCACATTAACGCCGTTGTACACTGTTTTAATCTCAAGGTAAAATATCTCGAATAATAAAATGCCAAATACATATTTTACCAAATGATACAATAAAGTACTGATAAAAAGTTCGCAATTTAACCATTTTTATATTTATATTAAATACACATCTTTATGTTGATTTACGTGTATAACGATTTCAAAGTGCACCGAGTGCGTACTAGTGCGCCCAATCGAATTCGCTCGATCTTCAGTCTTAATTTTAAGTCTTCCCGTATTACACTAAGAAGGCCAATCATCAAGTATTTTTCTTTTGATATCTTTTACTACGGCCGTTGCGCGAAATAAATGCATGTACCACATATAATTAGAAAACTTGTTGACTCGCTAATATATTATTAGTATGTATTTCAGCTAAAACGTGAATCATCGTGCCGATTTTGATTAAAAAAGTATATCAACTAGACTAGGACCTTAAGCGAAATTAGTCAATCACCTGTAATATTGCCGCATTGAAATACACGTGAACACGTATATGAACGTGAAGTGAGGGTACGATCTCGTCTTAGCACCACGAGTTGAAGTGTTTTCTTCTACGAGAAAAAAAAAAAAAAAATTTCCGTAGTCCGATCAGTAGTATTTATATTAAAAAATAGCAAATTATCTTTTATTTCTTAGTACTCTGACGTAAAAGAATAAAAAGTTAATGATTAGCGACTTCTCTTTTTGCATTTTTGCTTTTTCTACATGACGTTAAAAATGTTATACGTTCCTGCACGTTGCTACGTTTTCTAAACAACCATGTTTACAAATCAAACTTGTACATAAAATTTTAATTCAACCCATCAGTTTTATTTATCGCGTCTGCCTTTTCGTGTAAAACAATATGCTTTTCTTTAGTCTGAATTTGAAATTTAAAATGTTTCGTACAAGTGTCATGAAAGATTACTTGTATCGCTTGCATAAAGACTGTTACTCTTAATCTCGTACTTAAGCCAAATTGATACAAAGATACATTGTCATTGTTATCATGATAAAAGGAAAAGAGAAAGACCTATAAATCACAGTGGTGACGCTTCGCGATCGTACGCACTATCATGATGTATGAGAAATATTGTTGAAAATCACACATTGTGAATTTGTTTCAGACCTAGAGAAAAGTACTGAAACAAAAGTCAACCTGATAATGATTAATTATATGCTAAGCTTAGTTATTTTTTTACATAGCTGTTAGTGGTATGTCACTGCGGGGTTATAAATATATTTTACAATCTAGGAAGTTACATTTCCTTAATTATCGCGTTTCCATAGTTCGTACTTAAGAAATAGATTCTTACGACAGACCTTGAGCGAAACGTCATTTATCCTTTATTGTTTCTTCTCGATGTCGACGCACGACCTTTTAACAGGTGCACTTCTTTCTCCGTTGTATCCTTTTTTATAGACTACAATAAACATATTATTTCAATAAAATCTACATTATCTTATGCGTTTTATTTCGTGCTCTGATGTGCCCCTTGCAAGATTGCACAATTCTAACAACGGTATAATAATGAACAGTAATTTATGACTTTCAAATTTCAATACAACAATAAGTGTTGTTGGTATGTTCTTACTTACAATTAATGATTCAAATTTACATCGTATATTTTAATCATGATATAAGTACTATCATTAAAATCATATGATTATTATATACTATTATTATTTTATTATATACTTGGATTAAAAATTTTGTCGTCCGTTAACTTTTTAATCAAGATATTAAGAGTATATGATGTAAATTAAGACCATTAAATAACAAGAATTTTATGCACTAAAGTCGTGGACACTTAATTGCCTATTGTTAGGTAACTAACGGTATAATACTAGAACCGTGGATGGGATATTCTTATTTTAAGCCAAATTTAAACTTGCAAAATACATGTTTAGCAAAGTCTAGCAGTTATTTTTTGTTGGTACTCTAATTCGTTTTAAAGGGATAAAATCACCCCTTAAAAAAAATCGGTTTTTTTCTTCCGACGTAAATATCGTCGAAACTATGAGGGATAGAAAATGTGTTCTAAATTAAAGTTAAATGGTTTGAAGTGTATTTTATGATAGTAATAAAAAAATTTTTTTAAAATTGCACGCAGCACGTTCTGATCGCATTTTTGCATTTAACAAGGAATAACAATGAAAGCAAACCTATTTTCGCAATATTCTGTGGATGTATAACTATATCGTTTTTATCGCGCACGGCTAGACAACGCTTACACAGCAAAATATGAATATCGTAAAATATCAAGTCAAATCGGTGTAAACAACTTATTGTGGAAACAGTCTGTACGTATAATCACGGAAGTTTCTTATTTTATCAGATAATATTTGCAAAGCATTTGAATAAGCATTTGAATATTAATTAATTTCAAGACT